TCGTCGTCGTTCGTGGCAGGTGTTTCGACGTGTTCATTCGTGTTGACTTCGGCGCGCATAGAATTAACCTTACGGGGAGGTTTCTTTCGATTTGCGCGTGCGATAACTTCCTGCTGTACGTTCTGAAGGTTCTGATTCATTGCTGGGTGCGATATTGTACAGAGGTGGTATGGTGTTGGACGCGTTGATGTGAGTTAGGATGAAAATCAGGGTTAGGAGACTGCTTAGTAAGCACTTCTGCTAGGTGGGCTCTCTATAGGATACTCTATCTACGCTCCGCAAATAGGAATCAATCAAACCAATCAAATCAATCAATTTGATGCCTTGAAGTTGATTTGATTTATAAAATCCACCTCTTCGGATTGATTGATTGATTTGGTTGAACCAAATCAAATCAATCAATCTATCAACTTAAGTTGATTGTTCCCCACTCTGATTGCTTTGTCAAAGATCTCGAAGGTTGCATTTTTGAATTTCGATTCTAACTGGATGCCTGCACATATGCCTTTGTAAATATGTCAGTTTGTGGATATTTGTCGAAAGGGCAAGGGTTTTGATGCTTGACTTACCTGACAAGCCGGCCCCAATGATAATTACATCCAAGGGAACCCCCGAGGAATTCATGGTTAAAGACGTTGAAGGTGAATGAATATAATATGGTAGCATCATCTCTTCCACTTTGATGGCCTCGAAATATATCGAGTAGTGACATTCTCTTTCCTGATGACATACCCTCTCTGGTGACATCTTCTCTCTTGCTGACATCCTTTCTCTTGGTGACATTCTCTTCTTGGTAGTGACATCATCATTACGCTGCCCCAAGTCGAGGGCCTTGTTCAAATAAGAAATGCCTAGAAGGAACAGGAGCTTATTGTAAGCGTAAGTCATGACTTCCGTGGTATGTCACCCATCACTGGAAGCAAATATTTTCTATTAGAGCTCAAGATATCCGTAAAACAAATAAATTCGCATAGAGAAGGTTGCACCAGCACTGGTAAGAACATTACCCCTTTATATATTCCAAGACGCTGAATAGCAATTCGTTTTCGACTTTGCAACTACCAGCTCCATCACCTTTTACAAAACCATTCCACAGGCGAATGCCAATCTCGATCATATCGATCCCTCTCTTATTGTGTTCGCGTATCAACTCATATGCCACAGAGCATAAAGTTGTCCCGCTATCGGACTGGCTGGAGATCGGGAGAAGGGATTCAACAGGGCAAAGAAGATTGACACCTGGTGGGACCAAGGGCGAATTGTATGGTAATAGCAGAGAAGGTCCGGAGAAGCTTTGAGTTATAGATAAGAAATCGAAAGAGGACGTCGTTTGAAGAGGCTCGAACAGCATGCCGAACTCGTCTGCGGGGAGTTGAAGAAACGAGTCTGCAAACATTTCATCGGAGCTATTGGGCATGCTTGCCCCGTCGGCCGTTGGCACCATGGCTGCCGACTTTCGAGACATCAGCGCGAAGACCACATTGGCAGAGTACTGTTCTGCAGACTTACCAGGTCTTCTGGTGCTGTTTCTGGGGAGCTTTGCGGACGACTGCAGCTATCACCAGCCTCGGGCGCTCCACTGTCCGCGGTGAGATGATTGTCCACCAAAGTCTGCTCCACGCCTGTAAGGGCTAATAACTCCCGGAGCTTTCTATTCTCCTCCTCAAGTCGGAGGATTGTGTCCTGGGGAACGACGGTTGGTGTGCACGGCGGAAGTCCATGTGCGTTGCTTTCGTGGACCTTGCGCTCCAGCTCGGCGACATACTCGCGTCTGCGCGCCCGCGAACGTCGCTGATTGTTGCGCACTCTGATCAAGTTAGAAGACTGTAGATGGAATCCCGTTAGCATGATCTGGAGACGAGTGGGACGAACTGCTGACCTCTCCTTTGGTTTTCGGCGGCATGGTGTGCGATTGCGGTTTGAATTTGGTTTGGAGGAGTGGCGAAATCGATTTCTTAGAGAGGTGGGCGCGGCCCGAAGAATGACTGTACCTGTATCGCACCGCATCGCAGCACCACCAAACCTTGTTCAATTTCAAGGGCCTAATTAATACTACTAACTTTACAAACAATGAGCTTCTGATATAATGCTAGTTTGAAGCCCAGTTTTTGAAGAAATTGGGATTGCTTTTATGAAAGCAAGTCCCCTTTTTCTTCTTCCGAATCTGCCACCAGCCGCCAAGCGGCCCAGGACAGCGGCATCAGTTGGCCACAACAACAACAGAAATTCAAAGAGAAGGCGATGCTCACGGGCATTGGCCCAGTTGCTCGCAAATGGTCCGTTCGTAGAATCTTTGGAGCTTTGAGCTTACCTCCAACCCAAGCTGCGGCTCTGGGAGCGGTGACATACCAGCGGTCCCCTCGCAGCAATGACAGATCGGCGCCCGCCCAGAATCAAGGAACGGTGACATATCACCCCTCCTTTATTGTCTTTATTGCCCAATATTCTCCCGAGGAGCCTGAGGTCCGGTCTGTTGTCATTCCCATGTAGACGTGACAATGAGCACAATATGCGATTCTCTCCAGGATGCTGAGGATCCATCTCTCGTTGTCCCCGGGCCGCCTGACGGTGGATACGGCTGGGTTTGCGTTGCCGCATGATTTACCATCAACTGCTTTACTTGGGTTGTCGTTGCTGTAAGAGTGTTTATCTCCATATCCAGCAAACACGATCCTTCTCGCCGCATTACTGATCATTGGTGCACAGTCGTACGGTGTCTTTCTCGGATACTACCTCGAAAATGGGATCTATCCAGAGGCCACGCCTACGGACTTTGCCTTCATCGGAGGACTAAACTTTTCCGTGGCGATGCTAGCCTCTCCAGCCGTGACGGTTCTGGTCCGCCGCAATCCCTTCGGCCATCACATCCCCATGCTCACCGGTGTATGTCTGCAAACAGCTGGTTTTACCACAGCATAATTTGCAACACGTATTTGGCATCTTTACCTTACCCAAGGCATTCTAGTTAGACTGGGGGTCGGCTTCACCTACATTCCCAGCATCGCCGTGCTCTCTCAACGGTTCCATCGGCGCCGCAGCTTAGCAAACGGCATTAGTGCTGCGGGATCTGGTATTTGCGGGCTCCTGTTCTCCTTTATAGTACGGGCAGCTATTAGTAACATCTCTCTAGCCTGGTCACTTCGCATTACTGGGCTCGTTAGTGGATCCATGAATATTCTAGCAACAGTTGCTATGAGGAGCCGCAATCATATCATTCAGCCAAAACAACATCCGTTTGACATAGATATCCTTTGCCGTTACGATGTCATACTAGTCCTTGCTTGGGCCTTTGTGAGTATGTTAGGCTATATCACCTTACTCTTTTCTATGTCCAACTTCGCAAGCTCAATAGGTCTGGATGAATCTCAAGCCGCCACTATCACAGCCCTTCTAAACCTGGGTACTGCACTTGGTAGACCGTTCATCGGGGTTATCAGTGATTACTGTGGTCGAATCGAGTCTGCGGGATTCATAACTCTTCTATGCGCAATATCAGTCTTTACAATTTGGATACCAGCTACGTCATACGGAGTTACTATTCTCTTTGTTATTGTCAATAGTGGAATCCTGGGTGTCTTTTGGGTTGTAAGTCATCTCCTGGCCCGCCCCTCATGTCGCAGACTGACCTCACATGGAGACAATTGGGCCAATATGCACAGAAGTCGTGGGACTTGGAGAACTGCTATCTGTGCTCTCGCTGGCCTGGTTGATGATCGTGTTACCAACCACCTGTAAGTTTGGCACTATTCCATACTTGAGGGGCGATGCTCACGTTGCTGTACCTATTTTATAGTCTCTGAAGTAATCGCACTCAAATTCCGACGCCCCGGATCCGGACATGAGTTCCTCTATCCCCAGATCTTTGCCGGGTTGACGTACCTCATAGCTAGCATCATCAGTCTGGAGTTATAGCGGGTTCGCCGACGATCAACTGTTGTCGAACATGCCTTAAGTCAGGGAGCCCCTGAAGGAGAACCTAGCGTCGCCTTGACAGCCAGGCATAACCCTTAGCCAATATATGCATTAGACCAGATGACTACCGCTCAAAGTAGATTCATTTTCGTTTCCAACGGAGAGGGAGCTTGTGCTATGAGACATTTAACAATCCAAGTGGGTTGTAGCAATGGATACATTAGAGGAGCATGAATAAGTGGAGTTCATCAGCTACCTAAAGTACTAGCCAACGAGGCAAGTTGCAGTACTGACAATACATTGAGCTCTCATCTATTTTGTATGCAAGGGTACATCATTCACATTAGCAGCTGTTTGGATGGTATACTTGGAGGAAAGGCACGCATTCCATCTCAATGCAGATGGGCTGCGTCGGGCATTGCGAACATGGTTTGGCCAGTTCCGGACACTTTGCAGGCAATAGGCACAAGCACTTATGACAAGATAACGGGTCTGGGAGATCGGTGCGTTTATCGTACAAATTTCGGGGTAGGAAAAGCTCCCCATGCCCATGGGGGGCATATCTCGTTCTTCGCCATGCAGAACAATACACTCGCCAGCAGGAGATACACCCACTCTACTTCCACACTGGAGCATCATATTCGTCCATCATTCTCACATATTCATCTCCCCCAGTAGCCCAACCATTTATTCCCTCTTCGAGTGTACGGCTTTCCATCTCAGTGTTGTTCTGCTCCTTGATGTAATCTGCAAACCATCCTGCGGCGCGGTTGCCGCGACCGCGTGAGGAGCCTGCAATAAGTTAGTCAGGAGTACCAGGAGGCAACAGAGCGGGAGAGGAGATGAAATGATGGTTGCATTGATTACGGATACGCAAAGCGAATGACATACCACAGTACCAGATCACAGTTCGAATGGTGGCGGTTGAGAGGAGGGCGTACAGTGAAGGGATCGTTGAGTAGAGAGATTGAGTAGGTAGATTTATAGATCCACGAATAGTCCCACCCTGGTCATGTTAGAATTTCAATTCAGTTCATTGAAGCTCATGGACTTCAAGTTTTCAGCTATATAGTCGCCGTTGCAAATGACCCAATGATGAGAACACTAGGACATACCTCGAAGTCCGTCCTCCGAAGGTCTACAAGAACGAAATCTTTTCCAGCTAACTTTCCTTCGAGCATCCATGAGAGGAGGGTCTCACGAGTGATGACTGCCGCAGTGGTCTTTGGCGCTGGGTAGGCGGCATGCCACGGCTTCTCTACTACCGGTTCGCCGACGCTGTGATTGCTTGTGGCCATTATTGCGGAGGAAGAAGATTTGGAACAGTATTTGGCAATGCGGTACAATGGTATTGAGTTGAACAGTAGGCCTTTTAGAGTCATGTATTGAGGAATACAGAAGTAAGTGTAGTAAACGCAGAGGAAGCTCTAGATATGGACACGTGATGCCTGATGTGCCACCCTGAAGAAAATTGCAAGCTAGCCTGTAGAATGATGCAAAAAGTGTTTTGAGCTAAAGAGACTTCTCTCCTGAACCTCGTGCCTAGCTTCGAATGAAAAATTGGAAACGTTTGTTGAAGGCGTTGCGATGGAGAAAGGGGAGGCGGCAGGCGAAAGGGCCAAGGCTGGCATGTCACTCGCTAATCTGGCAAAGAATGTCACTCCTTCATTCTAATTGGCTGGCAGGATGTGCTGGGCCAAGCAGGCAAGAGACCAGTCGACGGCCTCGTCCCTTCTGAAAGTAAATCACCGTTCACATAATTTTTTCTTTTCCTTTCTCACCTCTTCTTTCTCTACTCGAATGCACATATAAAACAGAACTTGCGATCGAGTCTGTTCCTTCGACATCATATCACCCATTCACTTTCGAACCTCGTCCTACCTGCAGCATTTGCAAAATGCCTTCGACTCCAAATATACCTCATTCTCCTGCGCTGGCCAGCAAGGAGCAATCAGTTCCTGACCTAACCCCGCCTTCGACTCTAGATCCCGATATCGAGCTACAAACACACGGCAATCCAGAAAACGACCCTCAGTCATCCAAAGTATCTGCGTTCAAGAGTCTAGGATTGCTGGACCGATTTCTTGCAGTATGGATACTCTTGGCCATGGCCATCGGCATCATTCTGGGAAACTTTGTCCCTAACACTGGCCCAGCTCTGCAGAAGGGGAAATTTGTGGGAGTATCTGTTCCAATAGGTAAGGTTCAATTGCTCGTTTGCCCCCAAGAATCTTTTGCTGACTTCTCTTACGTGACTAGCAATTGGATTGCTCGTTATGATGTATCCGATCTTGTGTAAGGTCAGATACGAGACACTCCATCACGTCTTCCGTGAGCGCAAAATCTGGGTGCAGATTGGATTCAGCATCGTGGTTAATTGGATCGTTGCGCCCTTGGTCATGGTATGTTTATCTCCAGTGTTACTTTACCTGTTCACCTTGCCAATACTAATACATTGCAGCTTGGCCTCGCGTGGGCGTTCCTTCCCGACAAGCCAGGTCTGCGAGATGGCTTGATTCTTGTTGGCCTTGCGAGATGTATCGCCATGGTCCTGATCTGGACGGGTCTCGCTGGCGGGGATAGCGAATACTGCGCCATCCTCGTCGCTATTAATTCAATATTGCAGATGGTCCTCTTCGCCCCTCTCGCGATTCTATTCCTTCGAGTTATCAGTGGTGCCGACGCGGAGGTCTCGTACCAAACTGTCGCCAAATCGGTGGCCGTCTTCCTCGGGATCCCCCTTAGTGGAGCAATTGTAACCCGTTTCGGTCTACGCAACCTTATTAGTCCCACTTGGTACGACGAAGTATTCTTGAAGTTCGCTGCCCCGTGGTCGCTCATCGGTCTTCTCTTCACCATTCTTGTTTTGTTCGCGTCTCAAGGGCGGCAAGTTGTGCACCAAATCGTGTCCGTTGTTAGGGTTGCAGCGCCACTGATTGTTTACTTTGGGGTCATCTTCTTCCTCACCCTCCTGGTGACGCATAAGCTTGGCTTTGGATATAAGCTGGCAGCGACGCAAAGCTTTACTGCAGCGAGCAACAATTTCGAGCTGGCAATCGCCGTCGCCGTCGCTACATATGGTCCCAACAGTGATCAAGCTTTGGCATCTACGGTTGGGCCCCTCATTGAAGTCCCCGTTTTGCTCGGCCTGGTGTATGTTGTGAAAGCCATCGGACGGAGAAGAGGATGGAAAGACTGAGGAGTGAGAAACTGGGCATCTGGCACAATTCAAACTTGTACATATTCTGTTCATTTGGTTATTAGAATGGCTTGCATGGCTTAGCATATCATAAGTGCACATATCGAGCAGTGAGCTCGAGCAATCAACTTTCAAAGGAAGTTGAACGATTTGTTCCCTTTCACTACGGAAACTGAGCTATGTAGATGTTGACATTGAGGATTGAATAGAATCCTGCATAAAAATTGCCTTCTCACCAGTGGATAAAGTGTGGAATGTCACCTGATAATCAAAAATTTCTCGGCAGGGTCTAGCCCATATCTCCGTCCGCCGTACTTAAACCACCCACGGAACTTACACCCCGTATGAAAACTCTTCTCCTTGGTACTCGTAACATTTTACAGCCAAGAAATAATAAAACGACAATTCGAATGGGTTCTCTTGTCTCTCCAGCCCGGGAGCTTCGAACATTGGCACAATACCCTCAGCTAGCCATTTCAAAAGCCAAAGATGATCCTGAAATCAGAGCCAAATACCGTCCCTTTTTGCTAGATGCAGAGCTCGAAGCTACGGATTGGATCTCTCAGTTGGAGTTAGAGACTACAATTGCCATGGCGGAGGAGAATTTAGCAAAGACTGAATCCAGATTAAAGGTTCTAGTGCTCTATGGAAGCCTGCGGAAACGGTATAAACCTTGCCCCAGAGCTTCAAATAATAGGTCGATTTAACATGCGTCCAAGCTCCTACTCCAAACTAATGGCCTTCGAAGCCTCCCGCATTCTTCACCGTCTCGGCTGCGACGTTCGCATTTTCAACCCGAGCGAACTCCCTATCCGCGACTCTGTCGACGCCACGCACCCTTCGGTTCAAGAACTACGCTCCCTATCCCTCTGGTCCGATGGGCACATCTGGTGTTCGCCTGAACAGCACGGAAACCTCACTGCCGTCTTCAAAAACCAAATAGACTGGATCCCTTTATCCACAGGTTCGGTGCGGCCTACACAAGGCCGCACACTATCCGTGATTCAGGTCAATGGTGGGAGTCAGAGCTTTAACGCTGTTAATAGTCTGAGGATACTGGGGAGGTGGATGAGGATGTTCACTATTCCGAATCAGAGTAGTTTGCCAACTGCGTGGAAGCAGTTTGAGGATGAGGGGGGAGATGGTAGTGGGAAGGCTAGGTTGTTGCCAAGTGGGAACCGGGAGAGGCTAGTGGATTGTATGGAGGAGTTTGTTAAGTATACGATTGTCATGAGGCCGCATTTTGAGTTGTTCGAGGATCGATTTAGTGAAAGGAAGGAAAGGCATGACAGGGAGACAGAGTGTGACGGTTAAAAACGACATTCTTTAGAAAACAGTATATTCCTAACTCCGTTTGGCACCGAGATAAGTTTAGGAACTAGTCTTCCATACCCCATACTGGCCAACCCTCCCATCTCGCAGCTTTCTTCTGCTAATACTCGAACGGCCGTTACCGTAACAGATCCCTCGAGACGGAGAACCGAACATCAACATCGCCACGACCTATCCTTCTTGCTGCCTCGAAACACATATAAAAGGCGATGAAAAGGAGGAAATGGGGATCAGCCGCGGGGTTCTTTGGACTTGGCGCGAAGTCTTGCTAGTTCCTGGGCTTTGCGTCCTGGAGCACTCTTCAAATCTTCTCCCGCATCATCCAGACCGCGATGTCTCTTCCGAGGTGGGTTGTAGCCACAGTAGAAGAATTCCCCGTGGTCAGCGAGATGCTTTTGATTTGCTAAGTCTTTGTATTTCTCGAGCTCTACCACCGTCATGCCGTCGTTTACGAAACAATAAACGACCTGATCACGCAATTCCTCAAATTTCTTCTCTAGGTCCTCCACAAGAACATAGTCAACGCCTGTTTGGCGGCCTGTTTTAGAACTTTCGAAGCGTACTTTATGCTTCGCATATCTCATAACATCCAATCCCGTTTCAACCATTTTCTCTTCAACCTGTGAGAGACTGGTATCGACAAGCGCTTCCCGCTGCAGGAGTTCCCCAAGATCCTGGCTGCTTGAGGCTCTTGCCCCGGCTAGCGCAGCTTGAATCTCCTTCTGCTCGGCCTCGAGTTTCTCTTTCTCTTTCTCCAGCTGTATCAGGCGGTTCGTCTCAAATAGCTGTGCCTTCAACAACCTTATGCGCTCGTCTTCATCATCGATTTCAAGCTTCAGGCTTGCTAACTCTCTTTCCCTCTCCTTGATAGATTGCCGCGCTGCTTCTAGGTCTTTTTCCAGGCCGGTCACTTGACTTTTCGAGGTCTCTAGCCTCTTGTCAACTTCGGCCTTGGCTGATTTCAGATCCTTGATGTACGAGCTTGATACCTGCTTCAAGTCTTCTAAGTCCTGTCTCGTCTTCTCCAGCTCCGCTTGCACGCTGCCTGTCGCTTGCAATGCTGTTCTTAAATCATTCAATTCTGTCTCCAGGCCACGAACTCGTTCTGCCTCTTTCCGTAAGGTTTCAGCGTCTGCCTTGACCGTATTCAATTCTGCTTTGAGCTCTGCAATAGCTGCCTTCCCTTGCTGGAGTAGTGCTTGATGCTAACAACAGAAACTCAGCGGGCCAGGAACAAGGTTGAATCTCTCGAGAAACAGGTTGCGGAGCTCCAGCAAAAAAACCAGCAGCTACCCCATGAGCCCCACGAGCCCCACGAGCCCCACGAGTACGCAAAATTACATCGCCTCGCCGCACATGGCGAGTATGAAGAAGTCGCCGTCTCACAGTAGCTACTCGTCCGGCTCCAACTCGAAGAAGCCGTCCAACATGTCAAGGGCGAAGCGTATGACCCCAAGGGCCAGCACCCGCAGCGTCACCACCCTCACCGCTGCCCAGCTTGAACGCAAACGTGCCAACGACAGAGAAGCCCAGCGTGCCATTCGCCAGCGGACCAAGGACCATATCGAGTTCCTAGAGCGCCGGGTTGCAGAGCTTTCGTCAATCCAGGATACTGAGCTCACGCAGAGAAACAAGGAGCCGGAGAACGAGAACGCCCGCAGCGCATCAAGGCTCAATAGCTCACTGAGAGAATCAAGGAGCTGGAGAACGAGAACGCCGTGCTGCAGACGCGGCTGATTCAAATGCTTAGCCAACCATATCCTTCGTCGACGTCAACCACCAGGAACATGCACTCTGTCTCGAACCAGCCGCCTGTTTCAACAATCCGGCAAGCGGCAGTCGCAGCACCCTTCCTATCCTCCTTCTATTCAACGGAACAACCATCCGCATCCTTCTCAGTACCAGCACTCGTACGCGTTCATGCCGGATACGGCCAGGCCACCAATGTACCCAATGGAAAACCCATCAATGGCTCAGCCCATGCAGCCGATGCTGGGCTATGGCACTCCTATGTCGAATTACTCACCGTATCCAGAGGAGCACCATCGGCACATGAGCGTGCGGACGACCCAACCACAAGGCCAAAATCCCCCATACCAGGGCCGTATAAAAGTTGAGCAACAATGAGCACGTATTAGCTAGGGTAGCAATGTTTGCCGGAAGTGAGTCTGATCTCCGCACCTACAAAGTGATGTCAGACGGGGACATGCGGAGCGATTTTGCTGGTTGGAGCAGCGCATTTACCTAGACTGCTGCCCTTGATTGATAGGTCCTGGTTGTCACGTCGGAGCCGGGACACATCGAGCCGAAGTAGAAAGAATTGTATTCCACTTATTAATTTCACCCAACAGCCGCCGCGGCCTTCTTTTTATAGACGCCAAGGACCTCGCGTTCAAACTACTCCAGATACACGGTCCGGCCCCTCGCAGGTGTTGTTGCTGGGCGCATAGGCAGGTCAGCGAGGCGGGTGGAGCGGCGGGTGCCTTCAACGCCGTGAGCCTTAGGCGCCGCCTTTCGCCTTGCGCCCCTTCCTCGGTTGTTGTTGCCATCAATCTTGACCGTCTTCTGATTGTGCTGGATTCCACCTAGAATGCGGCGGCGTTTGCGCTGGCGGGCAGGATGAGTATGGCGGTCGTGGGCAAGGGATGCATACTAATAGGGCCATCGTACTGGCGGCCTTGATATCCGTCCACTTCGGGTTTGAACACTCTTAGATGTAGGATGCCATCGTTGTAGGCCCGACTAGTGCTGAGACCCCGCTGGGTCTGGAATCTGCTGGACATCGTGTCGTTTTGTTCCTGGTTGTGACTTTTTGCTACCATTGGCGAGTCGTCTTGTCTTGGACACTCTCTATGTACGAAGATGACTAAGTGAAGTGTCTTTGACCCGTCGAGGTTTCGGCTCCTAACGCGTCGGCAATTGGCAAATGCTGCTCGGCGTCGTGAAGTCCAGCTCCACGATGACAGGTTCCGATTCTGGAGTCTTGAATGTTGCAATCTGTACTTCCCGATTCTTCCGCGGGGGTTTTGCAACCCTAGCCTTGCCTAGGACCACAGAAGTGTCCGGTCGCCTCGGCCGGCGCTGACGGGCGTTGACTCTGCGTACGACTTCCACTGCTGCCTTATGAATGTCGGTGTCGTCTTCGGCAGGCGCGGGAGGCCGTGGATCCATTGCAAGCCGTTGTTCTTCAATCCAGCCCAGGGGAACATTGTGCAATCGCAGGGTTCGCTCAGCATACTCCAACCGTTGCTGGATGGCATTTTCGTGTTGTGCCGCGCGTTTATAACTCGTGGGGTCCGTCTCAATGGGCTGTTTCTGAGCGTTGTCCAACTATCTTTTCAGTCTGTCTCGTTTCTTTGCTAACTGCTCGTGGCGCTTGAGATGGTAGTTCCGAAACTCGATCCAGTTCTCTTGATGGCTTTGCTCCTGCTGGTCTAACAGTAGATGGACGTCGTCGTCTAGTCCACGCCTTTGCCGGCGCTCACGGACCTTGTCCAGAAATGTACTGAATGGTTTGTTCCGATAGCGATCCCGTGTTCATAGCTGGCATGCGCGGAACTTCTGCCAGTCTGATGTCTGGGCGCAAAGCACCACGTCACCTGTCGAGGAGAATGACTTCCAGTACTCTATGATCGCTCGGAATTCCTGAGGCGGGTCCCGCACGGGAACGTCGATATATGGTGGGTAGCAGGCGGGACAGCCATCGCTTTCCAGGTCATTACGTGCCTGGGCTTCGAGCCTGCGGGTCTCTTCATCCTCTTCTTCCCTGTCCGGAGGCGGTGTCAAAGACCTGCATTATTATAGCGTTAGAATAAGGAAGAGATGTATAGAGCATGTATATGAACTCTAGTCTCGGCCATAGAGCGTCAGCGTCAAGGGGACCAGATGTTGGATAGTTTTGAGCAGACTTACCTGATCATATTTTCCTGCACCGAATATACTTGTGCTAAGCGTCCGAAGGTGAACCAAGGGCGAGCATGCTTGATTCTACTAGCTTTAAAGACCTCTTTTGGGCACGAAGGGACCCAGCAGTAGCACAGCCCATGCACTTTGCATGATGCACGGCGTTTGGGTCAAATTCAAATCCTCGTCCAGCCATGATATTCCTGGCGTATAATACATTTGCTTTTGACCTGTATCCTCGCTAATGTAACCTTATACTGCAAAGCATCGCGTACTTTGGCACCATGGGCCGTAGCATCCCGTCCCACATCATATACATCTGGCATGCAGCCACCTCCAGCAGCGAAGCAGGATCAAAGTGGAACGGTGACAGCGATGGTGACGGCCACACCTGCTGCAAGTGCCGGTGTCATGCTGGATACCGAGCCAATTAACATCGTCGACTTAAATAGAACCGGAATCAGTGGCCTCGGTGCTTGTGTGCGCTTCACCGAGTGGCAGTTGGACCGCAGTCGTAGTAGGCGGTGAGATTTACGGGGAGTGGGGGATGGGGCCGCATTCCCGATTCGATACCCTGCGAGGATGTTGCTTTTACTCCACTTGTAGATGGCGTTCTTCATCTATTCGCCTCATCCAACCGGTAACGTGTGTGTCGTGTCGTCGGGCCTGCATACACGCCATTATTCACAAGATACATAGGAAATCTTATATCCCATCCCCTGTGGAGTTGATTGGGAATGAATTGAAGCGAGGAAAGCACTAGAAGAGTTGTTCGCATAGTGTACAGCAGCAACTTGAAATTTCAAGTTGCGAATCTCAGCGTGTAGCTGCGTCGCACCAACAGCTCAGATTATGTGTCTCCAGAATCCTTGCTTAAGATGTTCCACTCCGGCGCGCTGAACTAGACCGAGAACGACGCCTGGCTGGAAGAATAAGGATAAATTCGTGGCCATCCAATAGTTCACCCAAAGGCCACTCCATCGACTCCCGCACCCATGCCAACGCCTCAAGTGGCTCTTCGTGGTCAACGTAGAATCCAGTATCAACACTTGACACAAGACCACTAGCATCTTTGGGATCGAAAAGCTTACCCCGTAGCTTGGCATTTCGAACATAGCGTACTGGTGAAGCTTGCATTATCGATTCTGCATTGACTTTCATGTATTCAAATGAGACGGTATTCATGGAGCCTAGCGGAGATTAGTATCAGATCGGAGGACAACGCTGGCAGTGGTATGCACTCACTTCCGAATGCCTTTGAAGCAGCTAGACAGGCAGCTGGATGAGAGCTCATAATGCCGTAAGCATCATCTCCATCAAGTTTGATCTCATTGAGGAGTCCAGATGCAAGCCCACGTTCACGGTAGTCGCTGTGGACCACTAATTGGGTGATCCAGCAAATAGTCCTTCCATTCACAGTCCAGCGGCAGGCGAAAGCATTACCAGCAAGATGACCATTGACGGAGACTCTAACATATGAGGAGATGCCGCTAGGGAGGTATTCGTTTCGAAGCCTTTCTTTGCTTAGCCGAACGCGACTACCTAACAAATAATGAGTTTCCTAGCAGAATTTTAGGTGTAGGTAAACCTACCCGCTTTCGCAAACTTTCCCATCAGCTGTGCCGCGTGCTCACTCCAAACCCCATAATTCTCGGAGAAGAGCTTTGAGGCTTCCTCGAGCATATCGTCTGTAACTTTGTCGCCATTAAATCTCTGGAAAACCTTCTCGTCCATGTTCAAGGTGCACCTTCGCGGGTGTGGTCTCGGTTCGGTGGGTCGAATCTCAGGTTGCAGAGCGAATGCGACTGACTTGCGTGATGGTGCTGCTGGTTTCATCGGCTGCTGGGGACGTCAGGGGTTTTGGCCTCGGAGGCCACAGTTTGTTGATGGCAGGATTCCAGTCCAACATTGAGAAGGGTGGCAGAGGTGGGGCAGACCGCTCCGAACTTAAGGAGAGGTGAGGGGCTCGTGCACGAGCCCCTCACCTCTTCTACCCAGCAGGTGACATTCGTTAAAGCTCCCTATTTGACTAGATTTCCTGATGAAGTATTTAAAAGAATCGTGCCCCGCTAACTTCCAGCCAGCCATTAATTCTATCTGAACTTGCGCATCGTCAAACAAATACGTGCCAGCCCCAGGTATCAAATACTGCCGAGGTTTTGAGCGACAAATTCCCCCTGCATAGTCGAAACGCAGCTTTGCCCCCTTCTGAATCCCCACGCTGAAGTCGAATGACGCAGATAAAAAGATAAATGAGAGCAACTGTAAAAACCTCTTCCTCAAACGGGTTGTACAGCGCCTGCCCGCGTCCGGTGAACTAGCGCGGATATCAAGCCACAAAAGTCAGCTGCAAAAGAGGGGTAATCTCGAAAGTAAAGCCTCGCGGTACCTTGCTTTGGTGGATTCAGCTCAGCCTTTGGTAAGATTTCGACCAGAAAAGTGTTTCCTCCGTTCTAATCCCATCTAGTGCACCTGTGTCAAATCCGCGCTAGTTCACCGGACGTGGGCAGGCGCTGCATCTCCTGCCAAGGTTCAAGACGTTGGTTCAGGGGGTGTCTGCCTCAGAAACCGGGGAAATGCGCGCCAAAGCGATGAATGCCCGTATGTTGCAGACCAAGGCATCAGCCGTGGAGGCCTGAGGCAAGAACTGCATTAATAAGCTTGCCATCAAAGCTATATAGAACGTCGGGCGGGGCAACCCGACCGACAAGAGACACCACACACACACAATCAATCATACTCTGCTGCTTGATATCATTTCCAATCCTGCTTCATCCCGTGCACACCTAAGTGCGACACCGTACAATACATGGCCGAGCCGGTCAACTAACGCGCGGGCATTCGCGAAGCGAATTTCGAAGAACCGGTGAGGGGCCGAGTATCCCTTCGCACGTTGGGGTCCACGCACGGTTGCCAAGCCTAGGTGCACCGTGCTGAGCTGGACAGTCTGTAAAATGTGAAGCCTCTGATTGGCTGAGCCTTATCGATAATTCGTGGACCTAAGCTAACGTGCGAAGGGATAGAACACAGTTCCTATCCCTTTGAACGTCTGCGTCCAACGCCAAGGCGAGGCTGAGGGCAAGGCTGCGGCCGACGTTATGCCGAGAGGAACATCAGGGCATGTAAACAAGCCAAATAGCTAGTAAATAATCGCAATTTGATGCCTCAACATGCCATCCTCATTCTCAAATGATGTTAATCTTGTGCGCCCAACTCAGTATACTGTTCCTCCCTTAAAACAGGCCAAAAAGCCACCTCCAGCGCCATGGAAACTACCCACCTTCGAGCCACTACAAATTAATGACTTCCACCTAAAGGGCACGCCCAATCTACCTCCAGATGTTAATAATAACGACCCGTTGGCCCTCTTCCGCCTCTTCTTTACCAACAAACTAGTGGATAATATTGTAAATTGGACAAATTTGTACGCAGAACACAACCAGCCGGAGGACAAGGAGCACCCACGCCCGTGGCGGCCTACAACAAGAGAGGAACTCTATGCATATTTCGGCGTAGTGTTGCATACAGGCCTGGTTGTAGAGCCACGCATAGAGGACTATTAGGGCAGCCTAGAAACTCACGGCGTTGAATATATTATCAAGAAATACATCAGCAAAACCCGGTATTAGCAGCTGGACCGTTTTATTCGGTTCTCACCTCTATATAATGCCTACAAGGATATATTTAGCCGCGTTGACGCCCTCTCTAAGCACCTGCGATTGCTCTGCCACAAATACTATAGTCCAGGCGCTTACCTGGCTGTTGATAAGACTATTAAGCGCTTTATAGGGCGCGCACCAGAGATTGTAAATATACCGTCAAAGCCCACGCCTAAGGGCTTCAAAATCTGGGTGCTAGCTAATCAGGGCTACGTGCTAGATTGGATGTGGCATGCGAAGGGAGATAATAAGGGCCCGATGGACCTTAACACGGTATTTATAAAGAAGGAGGGCTTTACAAAGACACAGGCTGTTGTGCTGGACCTGCTTACGCAGCGAGACTCCGAGATAGACGCTGTCCTATACCCGCCCGGCAAGTATGTAGTTTGGCTTAATAATCTCTTCTGCAGCGTAAAGCTATTTAAACGGCTTCGAGGCCTAGGAATCGGGGCAGCCGGCACTATACAAACTACAAAGACACAACAGGAAGAGGAAGGAGAGGAAGAGGGCAATATTGTGGAAGATAAGAAGGGCAAGACGGCATATAAAAAAAAGGTGTCTGCAGAGAAATTCTTACTATCGCTTACTAACCTTAAACTCGTATATACGGCCCAAATTCCATAGGGTACGCTCTATAGAAAGCTCTCGAAAGGTTGTACAGTAATAGAGTTTGCTTAGGCAGATATACAGGTGGTTTTATTTATGTCTACGGTCTATAATGGTGAGCTATCCTTATATTCTGTTCTTACTACTATACCGCAGAGCCGCTTACGTTATACATCACCAAGGTCAATCCTATGTACTCCGGCGCCGCAGACGGCCTGCGAAGACCTCTACCAACGCGGCACAGAAGCGCAAGCCCTTCGGCGACGATGTAGTTAAAGAAATAGACATTCCGGAGTTTATAGATTAGTACAACCTCTACATGTGTGGCGTTGACGTAGCCGACCAGCTTTAAAGCTATTACACAACCCAGAGGATACATTTAAAGACCTGGAAACCGCTGTTCCACTTCCTCTTTAATACTATAGTGGGCAACTGCTATAAACTCTCCTCTCACAATAGCGCCGTGGGCAACAGCCGCGCTGATAGCCACGCTGCCTTTCGCCGAGCCCTCTGCAAAGCCCTCCTCGAGGCCTCCACACGTCTACCAAGACAACACTATACTGAGCAGGCAATTAGGAAAGGAACAGAGGACGTTACGTGGCAGCCCGTGGCGGAACACAACCTTACTAAGCTGTGGCAGAAGCCTAAGAACTGCTCGGTGTGTATTAAGGCTGGAAAGAAGTCTATAAAGCCTCACAAGGGCGCACGGAGGCCGCTGGCAGACCTCTCAATCAACACAGTACGTAAAAATGTACAGAGTAAGGATTGGAAGCGTCCAAAGAGGGCACCAAGAACCCTCTAACTCAGGTTGAAATTGATGTGAACTCTGATTTCTATAGACGTCTAGCTAGTTGTATATATACTAGGGGAAGGAAGGGGGCCACCCCCAGGGTGGCGCGCTAGTAAGTTCAGATGAGCCCTGCACAGCTGAGGCTTCAGCTCGGTTCTCTACAGCTGAGATTTCAGCTGGGTTCTCTACAGCTGATGTTCGGAGAGTAGCTTTCTGGCATATGAGTTGTTGATCCTAGGTTGTAGTGCTGCAACCTGAGTCTCTACGGCTGTTCTACGTGCCTTATTCCGTTCTGTAGCACGGGCGAGTGTTGGGCATCACACTATGAGAAGCTCAACTCCAGAGAGTAGGCTGCTAGGCAGCTAGATAGCTACGAAATCTATAATTCAAATAAACTCACGTCTAGTTGAAATATAGGCTTCTGATTGGTTAGATCCTTATCGATAACGTTGGACGCAAGCCGACGTTCAAAGGGATAGTCCATAGGTCCCAAGTGTTCCTCAATTATCGACCTTCTCATATGCTCCCTCGCCTTTAACTGTAATCATTGCCCCTTCGTGCTCGTTTCACTACGAGTCAACGCTCGCGTAACGGTAGAGGCCTTATGTTTTAGGGTCACGTGGTGCAATACCATCATGTCATGACAGCCATTTAGATTTCGGCTAGCCGCTTCGAATTTGGCTGGCCTTTGAGAGTGGCTGGCCTTTTGAGAGTGGCTGGTCTTTGAGAGTGGTTGGCCTTTGAAAGTGGTTGGCCTTTGAGAGTGGCTGGCCTTTCGAATTAGCTGGCCACTTGGTTTTCGGCTGGCCTTTCAGATTTCACTCTTGGCTGGCTGCTAAAATTTCGGATGGCCTCTTCAAGTTCGGCTGGCCTTTCAGATTGGTTGGTCACTTAGAATTTAGATGGCCTCTCAGAGCTCGACTAACCCTTAGAGTTCGGCTGGCCGAAGTCTGGCCCGAAAATGGGCCCACATCTAGTCCTATTATAGTTAGAGCACCATCACACGTGGAACTATCTAGTTAATGATAAAGAGCAAAGTCAAAGGAGTCCCATTATAGCGCTTGAAAGAATGATAAAGTATCTAACGACAAGGCTTAAAGATGCTTTGTCCTTCTCGTTGGCGCAAGCCTAGTCATCTTCAATAGCACCTTTAAGAGCAAAGTTCAAAGGAGTCTCATAATAGCGAATCGAAAATGGATCAAGTATCTGACGACAATATCAAATGCTTTCATCCGTCTACGTGGGTCGAATTGGAGCCATGATCACCCATCACAAAAGCAGGTGCCCATCGAGAGTGTTTAACAGGGTGCTCGCCCCCGCAGCTCTCATTCCCACAGCTCTCATCCTAGGTTTTGTCTTGGAATTTTTCAATCATCTCTACAATATGCGCACCAAAGCCGAAGTCCTGAAGGAACATTATCCGGAAGGGTATGCGGATGACCAAGAACTCTTTCGCTTGAAATATAAGTTTTTAGAAGTCGAGGTACCCAAACCTTGGATCGTTACGAAATCCCCGTACGAAGCCCCCGAGCATCCGGATATACCTTCAGTAGACGAAATTGAAAAAGCAATGGAAGAGAACCGATTGACTCAACGTTACGGACACCACGATGTATGCAGAATTGGTAATTGCGTGGTTAAAGGAGGCCCACAGCACACTATACTGCTGGTAAGGCTCTAGTTACATGGTATAGCTGAAGTCATAACTAACTTTGGGTAGGAAGCTGAGAACCTATTATTTCTACAGGAGCATTCCAAAGTCCGGACGCCGAAGGTGTATGCCTTTTTCTCAGTGCCCAAAGAACCATATGACATCCACTATTTGGTCACCGAGTTCATCGAAGGCGAGCATATCTACGGAGAAAAGTGGGACGCTCTGGACGATGAGGCGCGGGAGATCATTTGCTCAAAGATTTCAGAGCAGTTCCGACTACTCCGAGCTGTTCCATCCGAAGGATACTACGGTCGAGTCTACCACCAAGCCTTCCCAAGCGCCCTCAGTCTCTGCAGGATCCGCGAGAGCAACTCTGGTCCCTATGACTCCTACGAGGACCTCGTTTCAGCCATGTATGCTTCTGCTGAGTTGCGCGCAGCAGATTCAGTGACCATCAATGTAGCTGACCATCATCCCCACACACTGGGCCTCCTGTCTAAGTTTAAACCACTTTTAGCCAGAGCAACGGGTTATAAACCTACGCTTACTCACATGGACGCCGGACCCGTTAATTACCTTGTTCGATCTATTAAAGGAGTTGGAGGAAAGGTAGTGGATTGGGAAGTTGTTATAATTGATTGGGACAGTCTTGTATGGCTACCAGCATTTGTTCAAGCGGCGAGAATGGATCCATTTTCGTATGCCGAGGGTTGGGAGCAGGTGTTGCAGAAGATAGCAGGAGGCTTTGATGATCCTTTCACAGAAGAGAGGGATTTTATTGTTCACGACTTAACATTTTACGAGCTTTAGTTGAGAATTGAACAGCTCTCTGTTATCTGGTCTGACTTAAATCCACTCTTATTTCGCTTCACTGTCATTGTTACACGGAAAGTGAAATCCAACGCCCAGACTCGGGTTGTAACAGCTACAACCTAGGATTAACAACTCATACGGTTCACGGTCACCTACGTACAGGCACTCCCCCCCCTTCTCTCTCCTTAATTCTCGCTCTTCTTCATTGGTTGGTTGCTACTAACGCGCACTCAGCGTGGCGAGGTCCTCTGTTCACCTACAACAGGTTCCTCTCAGCTGGGTTCGTTCCTTTCAGCTGGCCTCTATTCAGCTGAGCTGATAGACTTAGGGGGTGGGCTATTTCCTATTAGTATATATTCGGCCCGTACGGCCACTACAATACAAGCAGAGTTCACATCAGTTTTCAACCTGAGTCCTAGACTCTACCTGTGAGGACCCGATAGGCAAACAGCAATTAGAAAGGGTTGCATTGCTATGCTATGGAAGTTGTGATACAAACAGAGAAGAAGGGCAAGGGCGCAGCCGCCAGAAGTAGGTTCCCGGTGCGGTTGGCGCTAGCTGCTAGTGCGCCCGCCTGACGGTCACGCGACCACGTGACTGTCTTGTGACTACAGATGAATGTCGCTTGCAAAACAAAGGAAAAGGCCGTCCAAGGCCTGACACTACCGCCATATCCTTTGCTAGATTCTTTTGTTGAGGTCCAGAGGGGTAACTTAGATGATCTTGCTCCGGCACCTAGACTCCTCCACCACATCCTATGCCGGACTACGAAAAATCAGTACTCTTCTCCAGCAGCAAGTTCATTCAAACATACTCTGCTGCACTATGTAGCTGATTTCCAGATGGTTCCATGATGTTGCTCCAACGTAGCGAGCACAGCCAATAGCCATTGTTCGAATGTTGCATCTTGGCTTGGTTGACCAGGAGGAACTGCCTGAGTCATACGGACTGTAGAGAAGATGTTCCGATCCCGGAACCAACCTTGATCAATTATGAAGGCCGGAGATGACCGCTGGATGAGGTTTGCCTGAACAACGCCCCCAATTTGATTGGGATAGTAGGACATGCACGAGTGTGGTTCTGTGGCTTTTCCGGAAGTAAGGATGCAGAGACTCCTACAGCCGCCCCTTCTGGCGATATAGACAAGGTATGGGGGGCCTAGGTCTGGAGGATTTTGCATAGCGCCAGTGGGTAGCAATTCAAGCGTGGTTATGCTGGTTAGGTTTTCTGATGGTCGTGAAAGTCGAGATGCTGGATGGATAGGAATAATGAAGTCAGTTTCAGGTTGCAGAAAAAGGGACGATGAGCCTTCTCGTGGAAGTCCTTGGATGAATGGCGGCGAAGGGTGGGCCGTGCTGGTTGTCACAATGACCAAACGGTATTCGTCGGGCTGAGGTACGATCTTCGAAGCAACTGCTTCCACCCTCTATTCCTGTTGCAAGGTTGCCATCGACGGAATTGGAATCTTTGATTATAGAACGAGGAGAACTAACCTAGCAAGAAAGGACCGAAACTTAGCACGACGCCGACAGTCCCGAATGCTGGATCGACAGCATGGCGGGCGGCGACCTGCATATCGCGAAGCTCAAGCGCGATGGCTCCAACTTCGACAGCTGGCAAATGCAGATGAAGGCGTACGCACACAGCAAGGGACTGTACGAATGCCGTAATGAAGATAAGAAGCCAACGCCTCCACGGTAAGGTGTCACTCCATCCAGCGCTGAGGCTTCCGCCTCTCCCTCTGTCGCTGCGGTTACTTAGCAAGAAGCCTACACGATGAAGCTCATCGAATGGAACAGGGGAAACGGTGCGCTCATGGGCGCAATTCTGGCCACGGTTGACGACTTTCTACATAAGCCAGCTGAAGACCGCTGATTCCCCGCGCTCTATGAGCTTCAGCTCCGCCTTGTCGCTGAATAAGAGCGAACACCTGTGCACCTCGCATTCCAATTCTCCCGTTCCTCACTCATCTGCTGAGTAGCTGGCTCCGTAGCTGGCTGAGCTAGGAGCTGAGAGGCCTACGATGCCCCAGACCCTACGATGCCCCAGACCCTACGATCCCCCAGTTCCTACGACCCCTCAGCTTTTACCCCCGCCCCGCTCGCACGATCACCCTGATCGCGCAATCAAGTTAGTTGCACGATTGAGCCGGTCGCACGAGCGAAAGGATCGTGCGACTGAGGAGATCGTGCGGTCGAGAGGATCGTGCGGTCGAAAGCCGTAGAATTGAGGGCCTCGTGAAATTGAGGGGGAGCAAAAATGGGCTCCAACGACGCTAGGGCATCAGAATCGCCAGCAGAAGGTGAGTGCCAGCGTTCAGGGGGAGCCGAAATAAGCCCCATGATGCTGGGGCATCAGAATCGTCAATGGATTAGCAACGCCAGCGCAATGGCATCACCAGCGTCCTGAACGAGCTAGAGTGGGTGCAACATCGGCTTAGTTGCAGGTTAATAGACTCCTAATAGCAGGTACCCAAGCACGGTGCATTCGTCGACGGCTCCGTAGAAGTTGTGCAAGTCGACGGATTTCGTGGAAGTCGCGAAAGTATACAGGGGCGTGTTGAAAGCTGGAACGTATACGGGTCCGTAATGATGAGTCCCCAGGCGCGAACCTTTAGTGGGCGTCGTCGTAGGCCTTCGCGAGGTCCTCGTCGACATCCTTGCGCTGTACCCACTGGTTCTCTTCATGGCCGTACCCCTTCACTTGACAAGATATTCAGTAAGCTTCTTCTTTGAGCGACCGATGCGTCAGTAGCGTCTATCTAGTAGCTGTTCAACCCGGAAGAAGGGACTGTTTTCGTCGTTACGTTCATCTTCAACCGCTGGCGGTTCCTCTTGGATAGGGCGCTCAAAGGGGTCGTCCTTGGGCGTCGGAGCTAATTCAAGCTGGTCCATCGAGATAATAGGATGGATCGTCCAGGCGGCCGGGAGGTCAATCTCGTAGGCGTTGTGACCAACAGCGCGCTTGACGACTCTGGGGCCTACACGCTGTTGTCCGAACTGTCCGAACTTGCGATGGACACCTGGAACCTTGTAGCCCTTGTGGAGACGTACGTACACTAAGTCGCCTGGCGCAAGGCGTAGAGGAGCTTGAGTCTTGTCGAAACGCAGCTTCATCCTGGCGGCTGCGAACGCGATGGAATCTGCGGCCTCCTGACGCAATTTCTCTCGGGAGTCAAAAAAGCTCGACGCTCCTGGGTCGAGGTCAGGCGCTGGAGAGCGGCTGTGAGCAGAGGTTCCTGACGCGGGCGTCTGAGCGGGCGTCGGACTGAGCGGGCGACTCTCGGGCGTCGAAGCGTGCGCGGGCAGGCCCTCGCTGACGCGGAACCCGTAGATGATCTCGTTGGGCGACCGACCTGTCGACTGATTGACGGAGTTGTTGAGCGTCCTACGGAGGGACGGCAGTATCTTGTGCCAGTCGACCTGGCTTTGCGATAAGTAGTACTAAATTGCGACTTCAACGGTCTGGTTAGTTTGTTCAGACTGGCCGTTAGTCCGCGGGTGATACGCCGTGGATATCAGGATCTTGGTGCCCAGCCGCTGGAAGAGGGAGCGCCAGAAGGCAGAGATGAACTTCCGGTCGCGATCCATAACGGTTGCGGCTTGGGACGCCCCAGTCGGCTAAGGCGTCGAGAACAACTCCAGCCCAGTCTTCAGCTGTATAGATGTCCTTGCCAGGTGCAATAGTAACGCGTTTGGAGAATTTGTCGGTAATCGTGACAAAGGCGTTAAAGCCGCCGGACCCTGGGAGGCCCACAACAAAATCTAGGGCTACTGTATGAAATGGGATGTTCGGCGTTTGTACTGGAATAAGCGTTCCGTAGGGCCGGTGACGAGTTGTTGTCGTAGACCTACAGACGTGACAGTGGCCCAGGTAAAGACGCAGGCGTCGAGGGAGGTTATGGATGAAGCAGGTTGCCCGAACGCGCTCGTAGGTTCTGTGGAAGCCGGCATGGAAGTGGGCGTCATGACATTCGGCAAAGATGTCGCCTTCGAGACTCTCTGGGATGCACAGCCTGTGCCTCCCGTCAACCTGATCGCGGTGATAGATAAGGCCGTTAATCAAGACAAAAGCGACGCCCGGGGCTGAGCTGTCGGGGCCGCCGTTAAAAGGGCCATGGTGTTGGACCAGTGCTTGTCGGTAACGTAGGCCTTGATCAGCTGGGTGCGGAAGTTGTCCGCGAGCTCGACGACGGTAGTGTTGAAGGCTAGGAGGTCGTCTCCGTCGTCGGGCGTTGCATGGAAGGCCGACAGGTCCTCGAGGGCGTCGGTGTTCGAATCGCCAGGCCTAGCTCTGGCGGATAGGCGGGAGAGGGCGTCCGAGAGAGGGCGTCCGGAACAAGTTGCTGTTTCCCGGGTCTGTAGCGCACGTCAAGTCGGAACTGCAACAGGTACTGTGAGGCCCGGATTAGGCGCATGTTCAGCTTGTCAACGGAGGACGTGGACAGCGACGTCGCCTTAGCAATGCCCGTAGTAGCGGCGTGGTCGGTAATAACAATAGTGGGCTTCTCGGAGGCCTCTAGTAGGTGACGGATACGTCGGATTACCCAGCAGAGACACGCAACTTCGAGCTCGGTGGGCCAGTAGTTGCGTTCAGCAGCTGACAACAGCTTGCTAAGGAAAAGAACAGACTGGATCTGGTTCCGTTTGATGTCGTCGATGCTCGCCGACGACGTGATACATCATGACACCGTAGCCCTGTTTTGACGCGTCGACGTACAGCAGGCGCAGAGGCTGATAGTAGACTAAGGAGGGGTCGTTGAAGGCGTTCTGGACGGCTTCAAATGACTCACGGAGCTCGGCTGTATCTTCAATACGGGTGCTCCGGGCGTGATGGATGCGCGCCTGGCCAGCGACGGGTGCTCCCTTAAGCAGGCGCGTCTTCTCGGCTTGTAGAGGCTCCGAGAGTTGGGCACAGTAGCCTATATATTGGCGTAACCAGCCCGTGAGGCCCAGGTAGTGTTCGAGCTCCTTTGGACTTGTAGGGAAGTTAAGGTCCTTAATAGCTGCAATCTTTTCAGCAGCCATGGAGAGACCAAGGGCGTCTACTTTCTGTCTGAGGAGCACGAGGGACGGGTACCCGAGGAAGGATTTTGAGCCCTAGAGCGTGATGCTAGCGTTTGTGAGCGCATCAAAAAAGAGACGTAGACGACGATATCGTCGATGTACGCCTTGCAGAACGTGGACAACCTATGGCGACGGATGAGCCTGTCAATATGTCGCTGTACGTAAGGTGGTGAGCCACAGAAACCTATTACGGCAACGTTGAAATGTTCTTGGCCTCTGTGGGAGACTACTGTGAATTTGTCGCGGTCGTTGTACGCGACAGGCCATTGGTAGAAGGAGGCGGCGTCAATCGTCGAAATGAACGGGCAGCCGACAACAGCGCTTGCGAGGTCTTCTTGGCGTGGGAGTGGATAGCTATCTTTGAGGGACACCTTGTTAAGGCCTCGGATGTCGACGACAACCCGGCCATTCCTAACGGGTTGCCCGTTAGCAACAACCGTCCTCCAGACTACAAACACGGGAAAGCCGAAGCGGGTGGGCTTGGTAGACCACTCCGTCCTATCTTGGTCGTGCAGCTTGTTAAACTCTTCGTCGACGAGGGCGCGTTCTTGGGGCCCAAGGGGATAGACGCGGCGGCCCAGCTTGGCCCCGTTGAGGTCCTCCTGTAACGGTATCTGTAGCCACTGATTCTCGGGTATGTTGGCTAGCTTCCGTCGTCCGTGAAGAGCGATTTGTAGCCCTGTAGGAGGCTGCTATATTGTTCGGCGACAGCGACTGAGGTAGCGTAAACCGTGACTCCGAAAGGGCCTTCTAACTCGGTGTGCTGAGCGTCCATCGGGATGCTCGTGGTCGGCAATTCTGTCGCGGTTCACGACTTCGTCGCGGTTGACGGTTTCGTCGCGATTGACGGCTTTGTCGTTGACAAGGACTTGGCGGTAGCGTGGTTTAAGGCGTCGTCGAGCAGGCTTCTGCCAACAATTTGATCCGTAGAGCTGTTGTAGGCGCCCGAAAAGGGGAATTCAGCTCCTAGGGGTTGCCAGAGGGGTGCGCGAAGGGCGGCGAGGTCGTGATTCTCGACGTCCATCATGTAGGCGCCCTCTTCCAGGCAGCCTTCGAGCGTACCGAAGCGCGTGTTTTTCGCGACGGCGTAGGCCCTGTCTGAGGAGTTCCGCACATGGACGACTGAAAAGTTGACGTCCATGTCATGAGCGTAGGCTCCTCCGTCAAGCCCTAGGCGTGAAGGCTTGAGCTCGGGCGTGAATGTAAAGTCTCTGTCTGGCAGCGAGTCGCGCTGCCGCACCTTGATTGGGACGGGCGTTACCGTACTGGGTGGAATCGTGTGGACTTGGCCGCTGTAGACTCGTTTGACCAGGACGGCGTCGTCAGCTCTTGCTTTTACCGAGATCGGGGCTTCAAGGCCCTAGCAGCTTCCAATTTGGACGCATCATCTCTTCAGGTCGATAACGAAACCTTCTGGGGCGAGGACGTCGGTGTCGATGAGTATGTTGGAACGTCGCTGTTCAACGACGTGGGCCTCGAACGTCACGACGGCGACGGCGGGCGCGCTGTTGAGACGTCCTGGAACGTACAGAGTGACGATGTAGAAGTCCGAAGACGGAACTAGACGATTGCATACGCCGCGGACCATGATAGTGTGCTCTAGGTGTCGGACCTTGTACGGATTATGGTGCTTTTCCAAGAAGTCCCTTCCAATGAGTGTCATTGTGTTGCCGGTGTCGGGTGTCACCTGGACGAGCTCTCCGTGCTTCGCAAGAGCTACTCCCATAGTCACGTAGTGGTAACCCCGAAAGGCGAGGCCGGTGCCGAGCGCCTTGGTGAGACTAGAACTGACGTGGATGCTGGAACGGCGCGTGCTAACGACTTTGATTGCCTGACAACTGACGACTATGTTGGGGGTTCTCGGGTTCGCCGACTTTGAAGAGCTCGTGGGCTTCTGAGGGCGGAACCGAGAAGTCGGCGAACACTCGTAGCGTAGGTGCTTGAAGAGCAGATTGTTTGAGGGGAAGCTCGCGCGGCATGTTCGACACTGGCGTCTAGCGAATAGGACGGCTGGCGAGGTTGCGGCGTCGTGAACGTCGGCTGATCCGGAGTCGACGAGGTTGTTCGGGGCGTCGTCAACTTGATCTGGGGCGTCGTTGTTGGGCTCGTAGTACTGGTGGACGTAATCGTAGTCGCCCGAGTAGTAACCGAGCTGGGCGTCTTCCGTCCAGGGCTCCTCCTCGTCCAGAGGCTCTTCTTCTTCGTCGGCGTTGTTAGCGGTAGCTTTATACGACTGCCTGCCAAACTGGTTGGGTCCAGTGAACTGATTTCAGTTGCCGCCGCTTCGATTGAAGCCGCCTCGACGTTTCTGCAGAGGATGGAGGTGCGTTGCCGCTTGTGAGAAGTAGAGGCTGTCGCGGGGCCGGAAGAGTAGGCCTCGAAGGTGCTGTAGGAGCGCTTGGCTGCTGCTGAGTGTAAGCGTCGGCGCGGGGGTTGAAGTAGTTGTTAGATCGACCTTCGAACTGGTTGGAGTAGCCGCCTCGGTACTACGAGAAACCGCCGTACTGCTGCTGGCTCTGTCGATTGGACGGCTGGCAAGTTCGTCGGGGGTATAAGGAAAACTAACTGTACTGACCGTTTCTGGGCGCGGGCGCGCTCCGGATGTAGACGTCGGCGAGGTCGCTCCAGTTGTCGCGTCGGGCTTCCAACATCTGGACGAAGTCGTGGACGGCTGTGGTCGCGGTAGGCGCGGCGAGACCGTTCCTGAGGAGGGAGTCTATACCCTTCCAGGCAAAGGCAAGGCCGTTTACTGTGTTTTCGATGTTCGAGGCCTTCGCGTTGCGAAGGACGTCGTAGACGTATGTGGATAGACTACGTCCGTTTTTTGGCGTCTCGGAGAGAGTAGGACGCCGTCGTCAACTTGCTCAGGGACTTCGTCAGCGGTTCCTTGAATTAGCGAATCAACGCTTTGCACCAGCCGTCCTCTAAGGTCAGTTGACGGAGGCCACCCTTCTTAAGGTCTGTGAGGACGGAGGTAAACCACGTTAACGCGCTGCCACGTGGGCATTGCGGCAGCTTGTTCTTCACAAGGTCCTCGAAACGACCTGGAAGCCTAGCAACATTATTGACACGCTCCACGAACACGTAGACGTCACGAATGTAGGTGTCGTTGCCGATGTAGGAAAGGTTGTCGCCAATGTCGGCGTCTAGGTAGAAGAACCCAATTTCCTGAACACAGAAGCCTCCGTCACCGTCACTACCTGCGCCATCAGCGCCGGGAGGGCCTTGAGCTCCGGGGGTCCTGGAGGACCAGGCGGGCCTGGCGCCTGCTGTTGCCCAGCTACCCGTGCCACCGCTTGATTGATCAGGTTGTTGAGCTGCTGAAGCTGAGCGGCGTTGAAGGCCATGTTGTGGGGGACCGCAAGCGGGTTCAGGTTGTCGTTGCGAGTGCTGTTGTGCGGAGAGTCCACGGAGACGGCAACCTGGCGTTGTTCAAGCTGTCGTGAGAAGTTCCTGACGTTGGCTTGCAGGGTATGAGCTGAAGTCAACCACTTGGAAGGATACGCTTCGCCAAGCGGTCGCTCAACAGCTGGGTATTGGGCAAGGAAGCCACTGCCGAGAGCTGCGTTGGACAATGTCCCGGGGCAGGCTGGGGTAGGTGTACTGCAGGAGACCGGTGTTTGCTGTTGGAGCTGTTTGTGCTGGATATGGAGTAGCGACAGCTTTGAAAGCCTGCAAGACGGCGGCGTTAGAGGCTGAGAAGGCCTACAAGACGACGGCTTCTGCAAGACGACGACAGCCGGTAAACTTGTTGTAGACGAGGGTTTCTTGGACGCGGGCGTCAGGCCTGGGCCTCGCACGCTGGTGGAGTGGTTGATGAGACATAGATGAAGGAGGAGGGAAGCTGAGAGCTTCGGACAGAAATAATAGGCGATCTGTTGCCGCTTCTTGGCGCGGTTCCGTGGTTCCTGAGGAAGGCATTCCGCGGTCCGCGAAAGGCGAACCGGTCAGCTGCGCGGTTGCTTCCGCACACAGAGAAATGAGACTGCAGCGGCGTAGGCTAGGTCGCTGGAAGGGAGTCGCAGAGAGGTTGTTGTTGTTGGCGTCCTGGGCTTAACCGTGACGTCGGGAATTATAGAGGACAACCCGTAGAGGACAACCTGTAGCAGGCAACAAGCTGAACTTCGACGGTGACGTCGGCGTCCGTCAATTTGAGGATGCGGAGTCGTGAGGGGCTTCGGAGCTGGCGCCGGCGCCGTTGTTTGCGAGAGCAACAAGTTTCAGCGACGGCTTCTATAGGTTCCTAGTAGGGATTCTAAGGTGTAGGGGACTGCGAATCTAGTGCTTGCGATGAGCGAAGCTACTGGAGCACTGAGCTACCAAATGGCACGGTTCGTGCGAGTATGAAGTGGAGGTAAAAGGTGAAAGGTGTCTTCTTAGGCTGAAGCTACGGCACGGTCTGAAGGACCGTGATGACTAAGACCCACGCTTACGTGCCGTCTCAGTCACTTTAAGCCCCGCAACGCAGAACGCCATGTCCGCAGATAAGCGTGCAGGCCGCTTGCACTCGCAGACTTGGTGGTTACTGGGTTTGCAGGAGCACAGTGGCCGGAAAGCTCTAGTGGGTTGATCTTTGCACTCGCAGACTTGGTGGTTACCGTGTGTGCAGGAGCACAATGGCCGGAGAGCTGGAAGCTCAGATCTGCACAGGCGCGCATCTGTCCTCCGCAGTTTTCAGTATGCCAAGTCTTTCCTAGTATGGGTATGGTGGTGGAGGGCGGGGAAGGGAGTGATGATGACCCGAGCAGGCGCGCGACTGTCCTCCACACTTTTCAGTAGTCATGCCAAGTCTTTCCTAGTATGGTAGTGGAAGGCGGGGCAGTCGCGGGAGGGAGTGATGGTGGCCTGCGGGAAACTATCAAATGGCAGTGTGTCCGGTCTATCTCCTCTCCTTTTGGTCTCCCTTCAGCTTAGGTACTGCGTGAATTGCTGCGAATGGCAGGTTGCTAGGTGGGAAGGCATAAACCTGATTACTTCCGGCCCACTGCAACGGGCGACCTGTTCTCTTTTAGGCTCTTGCCCCTATGTTTGTGTTTCCTACTCTAGATACTTTTTTTCCTTCTACTGCAGATACTTCTTCTATGGCTAGCGGTCTACCTCAGCGCAAATGAATGCCGTCATGGGTTGACTCCTGGGTGGGGAGGCATGTGGTGAAATAGACCGGTGCTGGTATGCGGGCTGCACGTGATAGGCGATTGGGCCTCTTGTCAACGGCGGCGGCTCTCTCCCCGGCCATCATCACTTCTTCTTCTTCTTTTACTTTCAGCCTGCCTTCGGCAGCGCATCGGGTTGCGGCCTCTACTTAGGACAATACGATTGAGGTTCTTCCTCTCCTACCCTTTTCCTCCGCGGTGATGCGTGATACTCCCTCCCGTGACTGCCCCGCCTTCCACCACCATACTAGGAAAGACTTGGCATACTGAAAAGTGTGGAGGACAGTCGCGCGCCTGCTCGGGTCATTATCACTCCCACCCCCGCCCTCCACCACCATACGCATACTAGGAAAGACTTGGTATACTGAAAAGTGTAGAGGACAGATGCGCGCCTGCTCAGGCCATCATCACTTCTTCTTTTACTTTTCAGCCTGCCTTCAGCAGCGCATCGGGCTGCGGCCTCTACATAGGACAATACGATTGAGGTTCTTCCTCTCCTACCCTTTTCCTCGTTGATGATGGTGTCATACGCCCTCCCGCGACTATCCTCCCTCCATTACCACACTAGGAAAGACTCGGCATACCTACTGAAAAGTGTGGAGGGCAGACGCGCGCCTCCTGCCGTCCCGTGGCCTAATGCGGATTTTAAGCGTCACAGGTGCATTAGATGGGATTAGAAACGGAGGAAAACCCTTCTCTGGACCGAAATCTTACTAAGGCGGAGCTGAATCCACCCAAAGCAAGGGTGTCGCGAGGCGTTAGTTTCGAGATTATCCCTCTTTTGCAGCTGAACTTTTGTGGCTTGAGATCGGCGCTAAGCTCACCGGTCGCGGGGCAGGCGCTGCAAAGTGCAATCGCGTTCGGCGCTTCAGATCCTTGGGAGATTCATGGTGGCAGCTGGGTTCATGCCATGATGATATTGCGCCATTGGATTAGATTGGGGCAGTGAGTATCTCAAGGGTGCTTGAGGGCTGTATTCATTACGAGGCTGTCTGGCGGGGCAACCTTTGTCGTTCAACAAAGGTGGGAAACCACGTGAGCTGCATCTCACGAAGTACATCAGCGCCATATCCTCGGTCGCGAAACCTGGTTCAGCGGGTATGCCGCTGCTCAGCCGTCTGGCCCACCATCACAAAAAAAGTGAGACGCGGGCGCTGAGCGGGGCGCACGGGACGCCAAAGCCTCACTTTTCGCGATGGTGGGCGCTGGCCGTGCGTCTCGTCCCGAGCCAATCCCGGACTCTTACCCGGAACCCCGCACCGCGTCAACATCGCATCTCGCAATCTGGCCCTCGGGGGCCCTCGCAATGCTGCGCCAGGGCTGTTGTCTGTTGCATGGCATTGTCTGCCACAACGGCCCCCAACTGATTGTCACAATGCCACCAAATTGCATGTCACAATCCGACCGTCGCCGGAATGTCGGTCAGGCAGCACGGCAAAAACTACTCGTCGACCGCAAATCATCAAAGAGCAGTCGAAATCATGCGGGAAAGTTGGGCATGCCACAGAAGCAGGCAAGCAGGCTCCTTGAGCACAGGGAGCTGCTTTTCTGGAGGGTCTGACGCTGGTTGCGCTGTGGTGAGGGGGGAACGCTTCGTGCGCTGTTGCCTGGCCGGCTTCGCGCCCTTGCTGCAGCGGCCTGAGGACATCACAGGCCTCGCGGAGGCCTCGCCGCCCCGCATATGCAGGCCCCTGTTACATCTCTCGCGAGCCCTGAGCCCTGTCGCACGTCGCGGCACCGCGCAAGCTGAACCAGCACCCCAGCGCCCCAGCACCAGAGCACTCACGGCACCGTGCCAGCACCCGCGCCGCCCCAGAGCGTAGTACAGGCCAGTCCGTCCAAGGGTCACACGCCGCCAGTCCGTCCAAGGGTCCCACGCCGCCGGTCCGTCCAAGGGTCCCGCGCCGCCTCCCTGGGCCGCCGATCGCGACCCCCCAGAGTCCTACGCCACATGTGCCGCGCATCGCGACCTCCCCTCCCAGTGCGGGACATCGAGCAATGCCGAGCATGCAGACCCCCGTTGCTGCAGATCCCCGTAGCCGAACATGTGAATCCCTCGCGACACCCATCAGACGGGAGCCGCGCTCCATTGGCCAACCACCAAATATCCTAAACCCTTGCATTGTGCTACCACTCCGCATCAGTCATACTCCTCGTTCCAGTCTTTGCCCTCTGCCAAACCGTTGCCCCCTTGATTATATATCTGTTCCTCGAATAGACCACTTTTATCAACTCCACCATCACGCTCTGAGCCATTTCATTGAATTCGCCATCTTGTTGCTGACGTCTTCAGTTGCTTCGCATTTCATTCTCATCCATCTGTATCGACCATGGCTGACTCTGACCCAAACTTGCACCCAAACGACACATCCATGGATGACGAGCATTTCTTCTGGGTATCTGGCGTAAGGTCGACCATCCCTCAATCCTGACCTCTGCTCATCGCCATGCAAGCTTCCATACCACTGGACCTGGCGGAGTTTGAAAGACTATGTCCGCGGCTTCACTGTGAACCAGCCGAGATGGACTGAAGTTGTCGAGGCTTACCCAGGCTTGCGTGAGGGCTACTTCAGAGTCCTTGGAAAAAAAGATGCCGACTCTGCCTACAGTAAGAGCCACTGGCAACACTTCCGAGGCGCACCACAGCTGACAATCAACGCAGATCGGTTTGCATACCGACGCAACCGGACGAACGGCAAGGGCACGCTGGTTCACGAGTGGAAACTTAGCCGCTCTGGTGTCAGTCCGACCTTGGTTCGATGTAATTGCTCTTCGCCGCGGGGAGGAGTCGGACCAGGCCAGCACAGCGGCCGACAGAACGGGACAAACCTGAACCTGATCGCTCGGACGATAATGACCTCAGTGGCGATGAACTCTCCCGGCGCTAGCGCTCAGATGCCCGTGAACGCTCCCGCCATTCGCCCTCCGATGCTCCTGAACGCTCCCATGCCTACGAATGCTCCCGTCACTAGCGCTCCGATGCCCATGATCGCTCCGATGCCCACGAACGCTCTCGTCACTAGCGATCCAATGCCCACGAACGCTCCCGTCACTAGCGCTCCGATGCCCATGAACGCTCCGACGCCCACGAACACTCCCGTCACTAGCGCTCCGATGCCCATGAACGCTCCAATGCCCACGAACGCTCCAGTGCCCACGAACGCTCCCGTCACTAGCGCTTCGATGCCGGTTCCATATAGATATTGGGCAACTCCTCCTGCTAGATATTACTCAACTCCTGCTGGATATTACTCGACTCCTGCTGGATATTACACCACATACCCCACGCAACCGACACAGTATGGCTACGCGGCTGCTACAGCACCATATCCTGCTGTACCACAAAGTGTTCCCATGCAGCGATCGCCGGCATACTCGACGACACCTGACGGCCTCTCCATGAACATCACCAACGGCGTAGTGCGCACTGAACATCGAGGAATCTTTATCACCGGGCTGAGCTATTCTTGCGCCGAGGCGGACTTGACTGAACTTCTAGAGAGCTATGGTGGACGTCCCATGCGTTGGGAGTTGCCGCGGGACCAAAGCACTAGCAAGCCCAAAGGCTGTGCGAAGGCGCAATATGCGAGCGCGGCCGAGGCTGCAGATGCGGTCGAGAAGCTGAACAACGCCCTTCACATGGGCAAGACCATCACGGCGCGCCGTGACAAGGAGGCGACGGCGGTAGTACAGGAGCAGGGACCCGTAGTTGCTAATGGCTCGACGAGTGCGGCACCGCCTTCTCTGACGGGCACTGCGCAGCACTGACAGCACCCTCAACGCAAATGGGCGGCACCGGTGTCAGCGGTGTGGTATTGTTGGCGAAGAGGCCTGGAAAACGCGCGGAGGATCCCGCTTTGGTCAAAATTGTGAAGCCGGCGGGAAGGGGGCCGTTCATGTGGTCTACCGTAGTCTTTTCGGTGAATTATCTGGTCTCTCTTGCATTGCACCTTTGCCAGAGACGCCTCGTGACGCGGGTTTCAATGGCCAGCGAGAGCGTGCGAACTCTCGGTGTGCACTTGCTTGTTTGAGAAGTTCTCCGCAACGGAAACATGTAGCCGCCCAGATGGAAGAAGCCGTCGAATCCATCAGCGTCGATACTCTGCCAATTGAAACGAGCGTCATCTCGGCGATTCGATTCTTCTAGCTTGCATACAGGCCGTCTCACCTGCGCGTTGGCTTGAGATCGCCCTGCCCAGATTGAAGAAGTCGTCGAATCAATCACCGTCGATACTCTGCCAATTGAAACGAGCCTCTTCTCGGCGATTCCTCTGGCTTGCATACAAGCCGTCTCACTGCATGTTGGTTTGAGATCGCCCTGCCCAGATTGAAGAAGTCGTCCGATCAATCACCGTCGATACTCTGCCAATTGAAACGAGCCTCTTCTCGGCGATTCCTCTGGCTTGCATACAGGCCGTCTCACTGCACGTTGGTTTGAGCTCGCCCTGCCCAGAAACAGACACTTCGAAGTTGAGAAGTTCTCCGCAACGGAGACATGTAGCCGCCCCGATTGAAGAAGTCGTCGAATCCATCAGCGTCAATACTCTGCCAATTGAAACGAGCCTCTTCTCGGCGATTCCTCTGGCTTGCATACAGGCCGTCCCACCTGCGCGTTGGTTTGAGCTCGCTCTGCCCAGAAACAGACACGTCGAGGTGTCGCACGCCACCCTCTCCTGCTCACCGATCAACGATCAAAACCGCGCCGGACATGCCAACCTTGTCAGCAGTGCATGGCGCTCTCACGCACATTTGGTGAGAAGGGGGGCATCAAGATGTAGTAGGTCACTAAAATCACAAATGTCAATAGCTGGGCTGAGCGGGCCTCATGGTGGAAGTACCGAATACTCTTGTTATTGGGAACCGAAAAGGTTCTCTACCGCGAAATCGACCGAGAAACCGTTGCTCGTCAATGAATGAAGCCCGCGCAATCGCCAGAGCAACATATGGAAACCGTTGTCGTCAATGAAGCATGCAAGCGCAATCGCCAGAGTCACATATGGGAAACTTGCCCCTCCGCGCCGAGCTCAACAAAAAAAGAACAAAAAATAGAAAGAGAGGAAGGACCAAGCTATCGTTTGCAGCCACCAAGGCGGTCGACATCAATGTCCTTCGGGGGGCCGAACATGGTCTCGAGCGACCGATACAGTTCTCGCCGGTTCATTTGCTCAACTCGAGCCTGGTATATCGCTCGGTTTCCTTCGATCCTGCCCACCGCATCCTTGGGCGCCCGCGCCTTGATCATTCCCCAACTCTCCTCCACCCGATACGCCTCGGCCTGCAGGCCTGACGGTGACCGTAGGCATGGTTCGACGAATCCATGGCCGTGATACTGGTTCCACGTGTTGTACATGTCGGCAGCCTCCCTCCACGGGTTTTCCAGCATCAACTCGGGTTGTAACAGCTACAACCTAGGATCAACAACTCATACGGTTCACGGTCACCTACGTACAGACTTGGAGTTGCTGGCATAGTAGCTGCCTACATGCCTAGCCAGTTACAACTTCTACAGAGAGGGGTTGGGGTACGGTGGCCTACCCTGCCTAATGCTGCCTACTGCTGCCTCCAATTAGTGCTTCTGCCTATGCATACAGTCACTTCCTACGTAGTATATAGTTTGGCCTTCGGGCCCCCGAAATAAGACAGAGTTCACATCAATTTTCAACCTGAGTCATCACGTACAGGTACATCACCGTAAACCTCTCGTTCTCACTGTATGGTGGTTTGGCTCCCGCGCTTACCACCGCTTGTCCACTCTCGTCGGCGGGCTGGTCGTGTTCGGCTCCAGGTGTAGAGTCGCGATGGCCATCGACGCCACCAGCACCGTCGGAGTGCCCAGCATTGATCGACCTATTGATCTCGCTCCACGTCGGAGTGGGAGGGGTCGCCCTGTCGTCGGCTTGGTCGCGTTCTGCTCCTGGTGTAGAGTCGCGATGGCCATCGACTCCACCAGCACTGCCGGAGTGCCCAGCCCTGATCCACCTATCGATCTGGCTCCACGTCGGGGTCGGTGGCGTCGCCCTGTCGTCAGCTTGGTGGCGTTCCGCTTCTGGTGTAGAGTCGCGATGGCCACCGACTCCACCAGCACTGCCGGAGTGCCCAAAACTGATCGACCTATTGATTGGGTTCCACGGCGGGGTCTGAGGGGTCGCCCTGTCGTCAGTTTGGTGGCGTTCTGCCCCTGGTGTAGATCCTCGATGGCCATCGACTCCACCAGCACTGCCGGAGTGCCCAGCCCTGATCGACATATTAGTCTAGTTCCACGTCGGAATCTGAGTGGTCGCCTCGGGCTCACTTACGAACGTTGACGGGCGGGACTCCAAGAGGTGGCGTTCGTCTGCGGAGCAATGAAGCTCAGACTCATTCTATCCACAGGGACCGGTTGGCGTATCGTCATGTCTTGGTAGATGCTGCAAAGTGGCCGGGTTCGGGTGGGCTTTCGCAATGGAGTGCTGCTGGATGCTCTCTCACGGGACCACCTCAGAGGATATTTATGCATGCGAGCAGGTCAACTCAGCTCGCAACGCACGGATTGGACATGGATTGGACTAGCCCATACAGATGGATGGCATCTCCATGGGCTCTTCATAGGATAGCTACATTGTTGCTGTGACCATGACGCCAACATTCACGCCCGCATATGCTACAGGTCATGAGACTAAATTTGGGGGGTTTGCTCCCTCTTCTTTTTTCCGGCGTTGGTGGATGAGTGGCACTGCATCGGTGCAGGGATTCCACAGGTTCACCGATTTCAGGACATGATGGCGTGCTGGCGCTTGATCAATGGATCCAAGGCCTCAGCGAGCAGGCTCTGATCTATCGCTGAAATATCCCGGACCAGAGGTCATGAAGGAGACGAGGCTGGGTGTTTGAAGAAGCGATTCCGTGACGAAGAAGAATGGCGACGTGACTTCAATGAGTTCCCATATGCTGGAACTCCCAAAATCTCCTGGCTTTTTCACGGGCCCGTCGGTGCTGCTGTGGTGTGTCGCTGTTCGCTGAGACGGGCTCTCGCCGCGCCAAAAGAAATCACTGAGTTTCGGCAACCCCTGCTCTTGCATCACAGCCACTGGAAAGAAGATAACGATTGCGTGCCCTGAATTTGCGGCACAGCCCGTCGCCACCAGGTGCTAGCCCCAAGTCGATTCGATGCAACTGCTCCTCCGCAACATCCAAGAACTCAAACCAAGCCACCAGAGAGGTGCCAGTCTTGTACGAAGATTTGGCAACTCCTGCCGGACACTGCAAAGACGCGCTATCGTCGATAGGTCGACGGCGTACAGCGCGGGGCTGGCACAATCTACTTGACAGGAATGCAACCGAGCCACCACCTCGACGTCACGTGCATGTAATAGTCTCAATGGGGTTTGCAGTACCAGAGATGAATTTCGCAATATGCGCAGGTCTATGATAGTGGTGTGAGGCCATTTCTGCATGAATTCGCCCAAGGCCGTCAGCTTCTCCCTCGGTGCCAGACCCGATTGAAAAAAAAATTGAAAGATACCCAGACATACGTTCATACAGGGGACCTGATGCATGGCAGCCTCACAAGCCGGTGACAGACAGGTTGCCACTCCTTGTTGCCCTGGTGTGCTTGAAAAGAAAGGAAACCAAAAGTATACCACCAAGTGAACATTTCTGTTGAGGGAGAGGACCCACGAAAAAGACAATGGCCCACGTGCGAGGAGAGACATGGCCTTGATGAGGGCAAGAAGCTGGACTAGGACTCGGGCGGTCGTAGATGAGCATGTCGAAATGGTTGCGCGACAGTATCGGCGAGCCCGGAAAACACGATTCCACCTTGAGCTGATGGTATGGTTAATACGTGCTGAAACAGTGGATGGTTGTGCAGTACCCTTACCGAGTCTTTGAATTTCCCTGGCCTGGTGTTCAATGACAGTGTCCTGGTGTTCAATCACAGTGTCCTGGTCTCTGATCCGGATGGCGTGGTTCTCTAAAGCATGAATAGCAGCGTCTATCACGACCCCCTTGGTATGTTTCAAACCACTCTTTTCAGCATTGTGTGAATTTAATTCAGAGGCGGCTACGAGCTTTGGGTTGTACGGGCCTGCTAGAAGAAGACCCTCAAGTGTCTTCAACTTCTTGTTTTTCTTTGAACGGGTCTTTCGTTCCCGCGTCGTCTTTTTGACATGTCTTTGGGATGACTTGATGAGCGCTTTAACTCCAGGAATAGTTAGAGTTGTAGGGATGTGGGTTGACAACGGCGTGAGGAGGCCGTGCTGCCCCGTCGTCGGTGATGCTTGCAACGACGTTTCCTGTTGAGCAGAGCGGACTCCACTGAGGAGCGCCTCAACTCCAGGAAGTGTTGGAGTTGTAGGGATGTGGGTTGCGAGCGGTCTGCCGCGCACGATTAGAAGATAAGGAACATCGAGATGCTAGGAAACTCACGGAAGCTCCCTGGCTTCTCTGACCCGGGGATTGATACTACTAGAACTCTGTGCAGTGGACATGTTGCGATTAGTACTTGAGGATTTCGTCGAAGACGGTGACGATAGCGTAGAGTGAGCTTCTCAAGACGAAGAGTGGGCAAACGAGCACAACCACAAACAGTGTAATGACAAAAGGAAAACGCACAGGGTATATGCGAGGCGAGCCTCGATGAAATGACGGCATTTGCCTAGCCCCGCTAGGGTGGACAGAGTGTGATATTGAGGATAGTCAGTCGACAATGATTGGCGCCGCCCCCCTTGCGTTAAGCAGGCGCACAGCGGCAGGTGGAGGCGGGGAACGGTACGGTACAGTGCACTCGAAAGTAACCTGTCTAGTGCATTAGTGGCTTAGAATGGAGAGGCGAGAGAAGCGGGGAAGAGCGGGGAGAGCGGAAGGTAGCGGAAGGTCGCGGAAGGTAGCGGAAGGTCGCGGAAGGTCACGCTGGGGAACACGCAGCTGTACCAGCTTACATATGCGCGCGATATGTAGTAACGTAATCCACAAGTTAGTGGCCCGCACAAGCTAGTGGCCCACCCAACCACGCTACCGAGGCCAAATATTCCGAATTACTCCACTACGAACAAATATATTTTATGCAGCTATATACTAGCTAGCTGCCTGCCGCCTAGGGCACGTACGTGCATTGTGTTCTGTTGATTCGCACATGCTGCACCTAGGTTTTGCTCGCTGTGGCCGCTCGGCCGGTGGCTCTGCTGCCTCCTCTGCTGCCCCTTCCTGTACAGGTTGTGCACGATCGGCTGCTTCTTCACCTGATAGAATACCCTTTCTAGCT